TGTATTTAATTCTTAAACCTGAATTTTTTGCTTTTATATCAGAATGTTGTAGACATGGTCAGAAGATAAATTTTGCTCAATATTTGAAAACTTCAGTTTTCTATTTAGTATGTTGTGAACTGCTGCTTGGCTGTTTGCCTTTTTTCTTTTGGTCGTGTTTCTTTCTATCTTTCTTCGACTTTTTGATTGTTACCTTCGATAATATGTTCTTCTTTCGTCGACGAAGGAAAGGATGTCCAGTATGTGTTCAATATCTTAAGGATATTGTAAGCGTACTATAAATGCTAGAAAAGAAATCGAGAATCTGCTTAAATTTTGGTAATGACCTTTTATGAGCTATTGAAATCTTCAATGAAAGAAAAGTGGGTGATATGGGGCAAAATATTTAACCCTGTATCGTAGGAAAAAATCAAAGGAATCCGAACATCTGACAAAAATTCCTTAACCTGAAAAAACTACATTCTTACGTTTCTTTGATGAGTTTTATACCTAAACATTGGATATATAAACTGACCATCTGTATCCTTCATTGTAAAGCGCAATACTGAAAATAAAAAATAATTACATTACACGTCTGTTTTATTATAATACGGTATTTTGTATTGGCTAACAGTAATCTCGCGTCATTCTGAAATTATTCTTCATTTAAAAATGAAATGTAACATTCATGATGACATGAGCTTCCAATATAAAGTGCACAGATAAATAATAGAAAAACACTTGATAGAAATCGTGTTTTCGTGATCCTAGCCAAAAAATGTAATTATTAGTATTGAATGTAAATTTATAGGGTTGCAAAAGTGTTGACAGTGCGCGTATTTTTAAAATGAAGCACTTCCGCAGTTCATACAAAATATACTTCGGTCAACGCTTTTACACCACAATAAATTTACAAAAAGAAGCATTCAATTCATAAATAAAGAAACATCATTAAACATGTTAAAGTTATCCATTACTAGATAAGACATTTTTTTCAAGCACATGTGCATATTTCGACATCAACCAAACTACTACATGTTATACCGTATAGTGTATAAAGGATATTCGAATATTTTCCTGATATAAAATTTCTTTAAAACTCGACCTTTTCAACCGCAATTTACCGAACTCTGCAAATTGTACACGTGCATTCTGGTATTTAGGTCATAATTTTAGGACTCGGAGGTGCGATGGGGACGCTGAAGTGCGATGGTCACTCAGAAGTGCAATGGTTTGTGACGAAGTTCGATGGTCCGTTCGCTGATGTGCTATGGTCTATGGTCTATATCATGCTTAATGACTAGTTTAAAGTGTACAGATGTTCAAACATTATAATAAGTAGATCTTTTAAATAGTTAGCAGATGACTTTGCATTCGTTATTGTCTGTGTATAGCCTTAGTAACAGTTGCATACTAAACGAGACATTGTTCTCTTTGATTTATTGCATGTGGACATAATGCTGCGTTAATATTTTATCTTTACTTTGTTGGAATTCCTCTCATGGGCTACTCGTTTATCGTGATATTAGAATACGAAGAGTTTGTATGTGGACCCGTATGTATTCACAGTAACAAAACAAACTTTTGTCGATTTTGAAAAAAAAAAAAAATCACTACAGAAGGCTAACTTTTTTTATCTCCACTAATTACTCCCCGTTTCCCATAGTATTAACGTTTATTAGCCCCTTATCATTTCAAAACCCGAAAAAAACAGATACTAACAAATAAATTGACTTCTTCATCGACATATTGATGAATATATGAAAAGTATTTAAAAAATAGTTTGTGTAGTCCATCGCACTTGAGCTTTCCCACAAACGCACGTCAACGTAGCTATCAACTAGGTAGTGTCACAATGCCACCATCGCACTTCAGCGTGATGAAACACGCACTTCCGAGTCAAACCATCGCACATCAGCGTACCATCGCGGTTCAGAGTGCTACATATATGGTCAACAAACTATTTGTTTTCAATGAATTGAATGAGTAAAATATTAATCGTTGTTTCCCTTTCATCCTTGTTAAACATTTTTATTTTAGAAACTATAAATGGTTGATCAAATCTTAGTTTAAACGTTTATGCAGCAAAAAGCTTTTGATAACCTAAATTATTCACAAATTTTCTTGCAACTGGTAAATGATTGGTAAATTCAATTTTGTCAAGACTTATTGTATTAAGTGATGTATTAGCATGTATGATCAAGAGTCCTTACTCATGCGGACACGATAACAAGGTTACAGCGTTATCGGACATATATATAAGATAAAAGGTGAAGCGCCAGATCGTCATCGTTTATAACATTTTCATATGTAGTGTATACATTCTATAGTATGATTGTATGTGTGTTTTATCATGTCTGAAGTGGAAGGGCATACATCATCACTATCACCCTTGTCCGTCCTACTCTTAGAGAGAACACCAATACTTTTTTTTTCTTTTGGTCACCATGGCCTTCAGTTGACGCTCGAGTTACTGTGGTTTAGTTTTGCGTTTATTTCCATACTTTCTATTTGCAGAACCAGATGCGGTACACTAGTGATAATATACAATACAATACAATGCTCTTTTCATAAAATACTCTGTCACATTAACATGTGAAACAAGAGGTAAACATATCCAAAACAACAATTACATACGAACATATAAAGAAATATAACAATACGTTCCGGATCTTCTACAGTTTCATATTTTGCCGCGCTCATTCTATAAGCTAAGTCATTTAAACAAATAAGATAGTTTTTTTACTATAGCAGAAGCCTAACGTGTATATTGCATTTGGGTCGAACTACTATATCACAAGGAAGCCGTATTCGACTTCAATCTCACGTGAATAGGAGTATCAGTTTTCCTGTCGAGGTTCGATGTTTTCTCTTTGGGTATTACGATTTCCCATTCCATAGAAACTGACCGCCACAAAATAGCCATTAGTGCTGAAAATGGCGTTATTTACAAATCAATATATATGTTGTAAGTACTGTCTACATGCATTACATTATCATACCAATATGTGAAATGTTCACCGTTGGGGGAAAAACCCATTCATCTTCGAAAAGAGTATTTGCAAATGTTGCGCACACCGTTTTTCCCTCCTTTAAAACTAAAACACAACCGTTTGCTATGTGTAGCGATGGTACGCATGTGCATATAAACACGAATACCTTGGTTATATCCAATAATCACACATTTACACGGGGAGAAATATCAAAATGAATTACTACTATTATAATAGCTCATTCTTTAAGGGTTACAGCCTATATGTTGTACATACAAAGCGTGGCAACCGGATGAAGAATATAACCTAGTTAAACCCTTTAGGAATTAAAAAATGATGAATAACAAATGACGCTATTTGCAATAATGATATTATAAATGAACTATCGTGTTGATGAGTTATCTGTAATTATGTTATACATTAATACAATTAAATATTAATTATCTGTTTATGTTCACATGCATATGCATGTTGAAAATGCCAAACTGCTTATGATTGATAGTAAAATTATTTATTTTGCACAATTGTGTAATTTTATACTTAAACATTTTTAAATTATCACTTGCCCATAATTAAGGTATGCATTAATGAATGTCACGTCATTTTATGTCACTATTGATTCTTGTTGAAAAATGGACAATTAGTGTAATCAATGTATTAACAATTTCATAACTATAATAGTGGCAATTTTAAGCTATTTTTCGTGACTATTGATTCTCGTTGAGGAATTGACAATAAGTTTCATTAATGTGTTAACAATTTCATAGCTATAATAGTTGACAATTTTAAGCTAAAGTGTAAAACATATTATATATTATATGCCTATTATCATTGTGTGTCGTCGGCACTTAACTATTAGAGGCTCAGTCCTAACTACATACACAAAGTTGGTATTTTCCTTACATTGTATATGTACTTATTATTCCAGTTAACCGTAGATTCATGTTAGACACTTTAAACCAACTTCTTGTCACTAATAGGAAAATAGTGCGAGTATATAACAAATATGTCAAATGTGGATTCTATCTTTTATCAGTTCATAAACAAAGTTGGCAAATAATTTGCCACTAAGACAAATAATTTGGTCAAAAACGTATTGAAGATGTCTTGGGTTAGGATTTAGTAATCGGTTATTTGGTCTTATCAAACAATGGCACTCAAATCTAGACTGTCCGCCTTACCATTTGTTCTTTATCTTAATTTCAAGTTGACTGCAGATGAATTTTGGTATACGTTTAAAGTCACTTTTATATGTGTCATAAAGATTTCAGGTATTTATACCTTCTGGACTTAAAAATAATTTTGGGTTTGATCGTTTCTGATTAAGCTCAGTTTGGAAAAGCGTTTCGGTCGCACGAAATTATTTTCAAATTTATTTTAAACTCACTTTGACTTTCTCATCGTTACTTATTATTGTTATTTTGTAATTTTTAACCTTAATTGTAAGTTTAATTTTAATTGTGTATATGAATTCCTGGTCAGCATTGTCAATAATAAAGAAATTTTAATACAGTTCTTGAAAGGTTGAAAATGTCCACACTAACCATTGACCTTTATACCATGAAACATTTACCATCACACCTATATTCTTCATATATAAAGGCAAGAGTAGTATACCACTGTTCAAAAGTCATAAATAAGTTATATATCAGTATATAACACACCATTATATATACACCATTACAGAATTACTCTTTCTTCATTCGTATTTGAACCAAATACGATTCGCACCATTTAGTATTACACTCAATGTAACGTGGTGGAGGGAATTGCAAATTTCAATTTATCTTAACATTTATAAAACAAGTAAAATTTAAAACCCAAATAACATTCATCAGACTTGATTCACAATTCTTTGTTGCACCAAACACAATTTGCCAGATTGCAAATACAAACAACAAAAATAATTGAATTTGTAACAAAATGCTGACAAAGGCGGAGTTTCGACGATTGACATCGATTAATTACCATGTGGGTGTTGCATTGACTATAAAAAAGAAGTTCGTATAATTTTTTTTTTCAATCCAACTGTATACAAAAAAAAATCTACCCAACAACGTTAACGCTGAGGATTTAGTCATCTTGCCATTAGGTATGTATGAATATTCTTTTTGACTTTTTTGTATATCTATGTGCTGCATTGCAATAGCTCTTACCCATCTCAAAAAGGTATGTGGTTTAAAATTACTAAAAACTGTTTTGTAATATTCTTTATTATGGTACAGATGGGTGCAGTCCTAACCTGTACAGCAAGTTCATTGGAATCCAATCATGTTGACCGATCAAAGTTAACCTGCGACAGGATTTATGTCTGCTCTGACCAGTCCTAGGACCACAATCACGTTAGCTTGAAAAGCGGACCTGGTCCTAGGACTGTTTTTTGACTGCCGAAAAAGTTAACTTTATACAGGTCCGCTAATATTAAAAGTGAACTTTGAAACCAGTCTGGCATAATTAACTTTGATTTTTACAAGTCCGATCGAACCAGTCCTGATCAGTCCTGATCTCAAGCTAACTTTTGGCTGGTCTGCTTAACACTAAGATAACTAGTAACCAGGACGTCCTGCATTGATTTATTAAAATATTTTGATATGTCTTTGTTTCTTGATATGAACAAAACATACTAAATACATTTGTAAATAAAGTACGACTGTAACTTTGCTAATTATACACATTTCTCCGTGGTCTGCCTTTTTATTAATCGAAAAACGATATGGATTACCCTACTAACGTGCATTTAATATGTATTTCAATACATGTCAAATTCTTGAAGTCGTATATTTATTGAAATAAAATGTTCTGGTCTGTTCTAAAATGTAGCAATAATCTTGAAAAAAAACTTGGTTATCAAACAAAATAGTTTAACAATGGCATAAAAACATGGTACATAAATTGTTAACAATAATCATGTTAATTGAAAGCAATATTGGTTTACAGCGACTAATATTGATCATGTTTATTGTCGGCTGAAATTCAGAGTGCCAACATTATTTCCAGTTCTTTTTTGTGCATCAATTTCCCAGGATATCCCCTTTTTTTTTAAATAATTGAATCGTCACCAAAAATCAGTAGTTTTCATATTTCTGATTGGCTCATATAACAAATATATTTGACGCATCAACCAAAAATGACCAAACTTGCACTTTACTAGAAAAATAATAAAGCCGCATAATAAATCATTAAATTGAGAATGGAAACGGGGAATATTTCATAGAGACAACAACCCAACCAAAGAGCAGAAAATAGCCGAAGGCCACCAATGGGTCTGCAACGCAGCGAGAAAATCCCGCACCCGGAGGTGGGCCTCAGCTGGCCCCTAAAAAAGGGGGTTCTAGTTCAGTGAAAACGGACGTCATACTAAACTCCAAAACATATAAATGAACTAAAATTAAAAGAAGTCCGAGTCCGATGTCAGAATAGGTAACAAAAGAAACTAAGCAAAATGACAATGATACATACATTAACAAAAGACTACTAGCAGTTACTGACATGCCAGCTCCAGACCTCAATTAAACTGATTGAAAGATTACGTCTTCATCATATGATAATCAAGCACAATCCCTACCGTTAGGGATTTAGTATCATATAATCATAAAATATATGAGAAGAGCGTAACCCGTATCATGCCAACAACTGGTTTTAGAATAAATGTGTTTATTTCCGATGCAAAGACCCAATGAGTGAATCAATATTAATACCAAAATATGCAATCCTTAATAACCTGACAACGACAACAGTATCGTAACTATATCACTTCTGAATAAGTCTATTTAAAGGTTTGGTTAGCTTATGAGGTATTTTCAATGCCGACATTTTTGTGCTTTGTAAAGAATATTACCATAAAAGATTGGATGTGAAATACCTGAACGTATAAGATGTCTGCATGTTGATTTATATTTACGAATGATGTCCTTGTACAGATGGGTGCAGTCCTAAACTGTACAGCAAGTTAACTTGATAACCAGTCATTTGGACTGGTCAAAGTTAACCTGTGACAGGATTTAGGACTGCTCTGACCAGTCCTAGGACTACAATCTATTTAATTTGAAAAGCGGACTTGGTCATAGGACTGTTTTTATGTCTGCCGAAAAAGTTAACTTGGAAACAGGTCTGCCATGATATAAGTTAACTTCGAAACCAGTTCTGCCATAAGTTAGCACAAGTTAACTTTGATTTTGAAAACTCCGATCGAACCAGACCTGATCTCAAGTTAGCTTTTGGCCTGGTCTGCTCAACATTAAGTTAACTTTAAACCAGGACCGCTCGATCTACATCGATTTTTTAAAATATTTTTTAATGTCTTTGTTTCTTGGTATAAACATAGAAAAAATAGAGTCAATTTAATACTTCCGTGATATAAACATGATTAAATACATGTAACTCCGTGTTGAAGACCGTACTTTGACCTATATAATGGTTTACTTTTATAAATTTTGACTTGGATGGAGAGTTAGTTTGTCTCATTGGCACTCATACCACATCTTCTTATATCTATTTGTAAATAAAGTACGCATAAAACTTTGTTTGTTTATATACAAATTTATCCGTGATCTGCCTTTCTATATATTAAAAAAAACGATAATGGTTACAATGCTAACGAGCTCAATATATATTCCAATACATATCAAATTCTTTAAATCGTATCAACCATATTTGCACTTTATAATGTAAATCTATATAGCCGCATAGTAAATCAGAAATATTTTTATGTCGGGATAGAATGTACAATACAAATGACAGCAATATTGGAACACAACAACTACAAATTTTTGTCCGCATAAATTTAGAGTGCCAGCATGTCCTCCTTTTGTTCAATATATTGATACGTAACAAAATTTCAATAGTTTTGATTCCCCAGGCTGACTTGTATAGCAACATTATTTGACCGTATCAACCAAAACTTACCATATTTGCACTTTATCATGTAAATCTATATAGGCGCATAATAATTCAGTAATATTTTACGTCAGGATGTATTACATAATACAAATGACAGCAATATTGGAACAGAATGTGAATACAAAATTTTGTCTTTATCAATCTAGATTGCCAGCATGTCCTCTATTTAATCAAAATATTGTCTCGCAACAAAATTTCAGTAGTTTTGATACCTCATGCTGACTCCTATAACAAAATTATTTGACCGCATCAAACAAAACTGACCATATTTGCACTTTATTTTGTAAATCTATATAGCCGCATAGTAAATCAGCAGCTATTTTTATGTCAGGATTTAATGTATAATACAAATGACAGCAATATTGGAACACAACAACTACAAATTTTTGTCCGCATAAATTTAGAGTGCCAGCATATCCTCCTTTTGTTCAATATATTGATACGTAACAAAATTTCAGTAGTTTTGATACCCCAGGCTGACTTGTATAGCAAAATTATTTGACCGTATCAACCAAAACTTACCATATTTGCACTTTATCATGTAAATCTATATAGGCGCATAATAATTCAGTAATATTTTATGTCAGGATGAATGTATAATACAAATGACAGCAATATTGGAACAGAATGTGAATACAAAATTTTGTCCGTATAAATCCAGATTGCCAGCATGTCCTCTTTTTAATCAAAATATTGTCTCGCAACAAAATTTCAGTAGTTTTGATACCTCAGGCTGACTCCTATAACAAAATAATTTGACCGCATCAACCAAAACTGACCATATTTGCACTTTATTTTGTAAATCTATATAGCCGCATAGTAAATCAGCAACTATTTTTTTATGTCAGAATTAAATGTATTATACAAATGACAGCAATATTGGAACACAACAGCTACAAATTTTTCTCCTCATAAATTTAGAGTGCCAGCATGTCCTCCTTTTGTTCAATATATTGATACGTAACAAAATGTCAGTAGTTTTGATACCCCAGGCTGACCCGTATAGCAACATTATTTGACCGTATCAACCAAAACTTACCATATTTTCACTTTATTTTGTAAATCTATATAGCCGCATAATAATTCAGTTACATTTTATGTCAGGATGTATTGTACAATACAAATGACAGCAATATTGGAACATAATGTGAATGCAAAATTTTGTCCGTATCAATCTAGATTGCCAGCATGTCCTCTTTTTAATCAAAATATTGTCTCGCAACAAAATTTCAGTAGTTTTGATACCTCAGGCTGACTCCTATAACAAAATTATTTGACCACATCATCAAAAACTGACTTTATTTTGTAAATCTATATAGCCGCATTGTAAATCAGCAACTATTTTTATGTCAGGATTTAATGTATAATACAGTTAAGCAACCAACAATCAATCAATGTATAATACAAATTGCAGCAATATTGGAACACAACAACTACAAATTTTTGTCCGCATAAATTTAGAGTGCCAGCATGTCCTCTTTTGGTTCAATATACATGATATATTGATACGTAACTAAATTTCAGTAGTTTTGATACCCCCGACTGACTTGTATAGCAAAATTATTAGACCGTATCAACTCAAACTGACCATATTTGCATTTTATTATGTAAATCTTTATAGCCGCATAATAATTCAGTAATATTTTTATGTCAGGATTTAAAGTATAATACAAATGACAGCAATATTGGAACACAATGAATACAAAATTTTGTCCGCATAAATCTAGAGTGCCAGCATGTCCTCCTGTTGTTCAATATATTGATATGTAACAAAACTTCAGTACTTTTGATACCTCAGGCTGACTGGTATAGCAAAATTTTTTGACCGTATCAACTAAAACTGACCATATTTGCACTTTAGTATGTAAATCTATATGGCTGCATTATATTTAATTAGAATTTTTTTTATGTCAGGATGTCATGGATGTACTGTATTACAATACAAATGAAAACAATATTGGAAAACAATGAATGCAATATCGTTTCCGCATCAATTTAGATTGTCAGCATTTCATCTCCGTATTCATAATATTAGACCATCACTAAAGTTATTAGTTCAGGATCAAAATGAGGATGGTGTGTATAACAAAACTATTTGACAGCATCATCCAACACTGACATGTCTGATTTCATTTTTACTTCATAATGAAAAGTATAAGAAGTTCTCTTCTGGGAATAGTATACATGTCGGTTGATTGATTTGTTTGTAGCTAAACCTCAAGTGGCAACTATTTCATTCATGTGCACAACGAGTATATTTTTTGGAAGTCCCATATCATCATTTTTAATCGGTAAAGACAAATCGGACGAAATATTGACGAGATTGTTCATAATTATGCAACACCTTATGTATCCGGACACTGTACAATTTTCGTTAGAATATTTTGTCAAAAACAGAATCGTAAATCCAAGGCAAACAAGATGAATTACGATGAAATATCCATGTAATGCATAAAGTTAAATTTAAGGAAGAGACTGTAAAAAATGGGGAACGAAGCAACGTCGACAACGATGTTGATATCCCATGACATAAAAATATTGTTCCGATGCGTTGGATAACCTTTCTATCCGCCTTCTAATTAAATAAAAACTGTCCTTTCTTTAATGATAGCTGTATGTGATCACAAGTGTGTAATTTTATAGCCATTGTTTAATGTATATAAGAATATGAAATGAAAAAAAGATTTTTTTTTTAATGTGTATAATATCGATAGAGTCTAACGAGTAAAGTAATTTGCTATACTGGGAAAAAAGAACAATGCGATTATTGTTTACATATTAAAATCAAAAGTCTTAAACACCGTAATCTGTCATAAGCAGACCTGTTCCCAGGTCAGGTCAATAGCAGACTTGTCCACAGGTCTGGTCAGGAGCAGACCTGTCCACAGGTCTGGTCTGGGGCAGACCTGTCCTCAGGACTGGTCAAAAGCAGACTTGTCCACAGGTCTGGTCTGGAGCAGACCTGTCAATAGGTCTGCAGCAGTCCTAAAAAAGCAGACCGTAGGTCTGGTCTATCAACGACAAAGTTAACTTGCTTGTCTGCTTTAAATTTCCCAAGTTAACTTGAAAAGCAGTCAACAAGTCTGCTCAAAGTTAACTTTTGTACTGGTGAGGACCGCACCCATCTGTACCGATGATAAAATTTAGTAAATGTATTTTTTTAAACTCAGGACGGATTACAAATACAGAGGACAATAATATAGGAACAAAATGACTACGAAATTGTGTCTGCATCAACTTACAGTGCCAGCATGTCCTCTTTTTATTCAAAACATGAACTCGTTACAAAAAATCAGTAGTTTTGATATATAAGGATGGCTCGTTCTACAATAATATTTGACTGCATCAACCAAAACTGACAAAATTTACATTTTTATTAAAGAAACTCATAAAGCCGCATAATAAATCAGTACTTTTTTTCAAATGACAGCAACATTGGAACACAATTACTACAAACATTTGTTTGCATCACTTTAGAGTTTGTCAGCATGTCCTCTTTTTATTCAAAGTATTGACTAGTTACAAAAACTCAGTGGTTTTGATATCTCAAGCTGGCTCGTATAACAAGAATACTTGATCGCCTCAACCAAAACTTTTTTTTGTGAATTTAAATGGCCACAGAATAAATCAGTAACTCTTTTATGTCAGGATAGATTGTATAATAGAAGTGTTACTTTAAAATTTCAAAAACATTAAACATGTTAGAAATGATTATGTTTTACAGGATGTTCTTTTCTGTAATTCTGTTTCCATGTTGTATTTCTATGATCGAGGCACTCACATACGACATATCCAAAGAGAAAGCGATGATATCTGAAATACGGTCTATGTCTGTTTCTATGCACTCATTGCTTGAGTCATTAGAAAACAAGATAAACGGTAAACTTACAATGTCTATATTTTGGAAATTGACAATATTTAACAAGCAAATTAAGCTTCAAATTAGACAATCATGAAAAAAAATAACCTAATGTTGTTCTGTTTTTGATTCAGGCTAGTATTATTTTTTTTAGGTGAATGGGTTAGTAGAGAATTGTATTTTAAAGTTGTTAGTGAATGGGTTGGGAGAGAATTGCATTTTAAACGTTAAATAGAAAAAATGTTTTTGATGTGTATTTACATTTCGTCAAAATCACTTTAACGCTTTTTTAAACGGCTGAAAGTAAAGTAGCTAAACAAATGGTTTGAAAGTTTTTTTAGCTATGCATTGATCATTTTTACATTGAGTCACAGCTCTTGGTATAGTACTTATAATACTTATTTTAACAGACAATTCTCGTGAGTGCAGTCCCAATGAAAACAAGTGTCCAGACGGTTCGAAGAAATACAAAGATCACTGCTACTTTTTTTCGCCTGATGGTAAAACATGGCATGATGCTGCAGTATGTCACTTCTTTACTTATATTTACATAGGAAATTATTCACAAATTTCCATACAACTGGTACATGTGGTATGTTCAATTTTGTCAAGACTTATTCTATCATTTATTAAGTGATGGATCAATATTTCTCTATTGAAACTACTCGATTCAGGTGACTCTACTTAAGACCAGCATGTATAATGTGTGTCCTAAAATCTGAAATGTTTAAATAAGTTTCGATTAAAAGAAATAACCCAATGCAAGAACATTTGCTAAATAAAGAATGGTTTCCGGTATATCAAGAAGCATTATCAAATTGACTGTAATTTTACTACAATGATTACTATTTGCTTTTTTAATGCGATGGTTGCCAATTTGTTTCAGTATTTTATTTCACATCTTTCTCAATTTTCTGTCGATTATACCTTGCAATGTATTGAATATTTCAAAAACTGTAATCAAATTAACAAAATTTGCGAGTTGTCTGAAAGGTACATCATGCGAAATTTTAAGCGAAGGATGCTATTGTTCAGGGTATACAGTTATATTTCTGTCATTTCAGAAACAATGTAAAAATATGAGAGGCTACCTTGTGAAGATAACTGACTCAGCTGAAAACTCGTGGGTGGTTGACATGCTTAATAGTAAGTATGTTTTATACCTATGAAAGGACATATTTACAATAAACACAGCTATATTAGAAAAAATAACAAATAGAAAAAAGTGTGTAAAAATAAATCTAAACCAATTCATTGAATATGTTATCATATCTTGTAATATCAATTAAGGTAAAGTACAGTGTCAACAAATACCAAAACTGACAGTTTAATAAGTTCTAAACATACCAAAAATTCATGGATACGTCATCCATTATTGTCTTCAAATCTGTTTCCAAAAAACGTTCTGCCAGTTAAGTCAAATTTTTGGGTTAAGAAACAATTTTTGTACTAATTCCAAAACTCAGTTAGAGAAACATTTCTGAAATTTAACCGAATTCCATTATTTAAAATTGTGATGTTATTCCATTATGAAACCGTTTGTTTAACAATCTGGTTGCATGGACAATAAAAAATAAAAGTATTGTGTCATTGATGTCTTTGCGCATATATGTTTACTTGTGAGTTAATTTTAATTTGCATAAATAATTGCCCCTTTATAAACTGACAAATTTTACTATTGGTGAACATAGAATCGGATAGGTTCTATCATGGCTCTTGGATGGGGATGACAGACTTAAATAAAGAAGGAGACTGGAGATGGGAAGATGACTCGTCTGTTCGTTTTTCCAACTGGAGTCCAAATCAACCGGACGATAACAACAATCGTGAAGATTGTGGTCATTTTTGGTCACTCCATCATTATGAATGGAATGATGCTCCGTGCAACCTAGATAACATGGGGTATATATGTGAGTGTTCACATGTAAGTTTATGTTCATATAATGTAAACATAAGTAGATAATGTGGTATTATTGCCAATTAGACAGCTCTCCACAAGAGACCAAAAGACACAGAAATAAACAACTATAGGTCACCGTATGGCCTTTAAAAATGAACAAAACCCATACCAAATAGTCAGCTGTAAAAGGCCCGGAAATAACAAATGCAAAGCAATTCAAACGAGAAGACTAACGGCCTTATCTATTTACAAAATAATGAACGAAAAACAATATGATAATCGACAACCACTGAATTACAGGTTCTTGACTTGGGACATGCACGTACACAATGTGGCGGGGTTAAACTAGTTTATTGGCGCCAAACCCTTTCCCTAACCTGGGACAGTCGTGCAACGTCGCAACACAAGAACAAACTATACAAAACAAAGACCGTTCTCATTTTCATAGTTTTATTTGTTTATTACTTTTCTTACGGCCACCAATGTTTGGTCCTCTGATATAAAATTGATAGAATTGCTATTTATCCATATTGATATTTATTTCAACGTTATTAATTACAGATTAATTTCAAATCTCCTACATGTAAGGTATGACATTATTTAGACAATAAATGTCTGATACATTTTAACCCCGCCTCTGATATACCCTTCTAAAAAGCTCACTTTTGGACAGAGTTAAGTTATGATAAAGAAAAAAAAAAAAGAAAAAAATTATTGCAATTATTTTTCATGACTTTTATAACAAGGTAAGGACTTTCAATTGTCTAATTGTCGTAGCCACAAACCCGTCTTCTTTATCTGATTGTGCCATCATCGAGTGCGACTTATCATTTAAATATTACTTACAATGAGTAATTGGTTGTACTGGTGAATCAGTATCTGTTGAATAATCCGGAGCATTTGAGATTACCTTAAGATTTAGGTGGGCCTTGTCTTTAGTTTTTTGTGTAGAGTTTTGTAGACCGTGGTTCTTCTTTTGTCCTTTTTTTTCTTTTTTGCCGTATATATTGGTATATTCTGTTTTACTTCAACTTATGATTTTTGATTGTCCCTTTACAATATTCTCCCTCTTTTGAAGCTGACACTTTTCATTGTGTTGATACATTGTATCAGGGATTGTAAATATATGCAGTCCCTTTTAATGGTCATGACGCTTTATTACAAAGCATGAAATTGGATGCAGTCCCTTTTCATGGTGTTGCTACATTGTAACAGGGCATGTAACTGTATGCAGCCAATTTCCTTGTTTTGTTTCTTTATAACAGGGAATATAATTTTATGCAGTCAGTTTTCATCAATTTTAAAACAAGGAATGTTATTTTATATGCAGTCTCATTTCATGGTGTTTATACCAGTTTATGTATTTACTTTTCATGTTGTTTATAACATCTTTTGCATTCATTTAACATTGTGTTTATAAATTTTATACAGTCTCACTACTTGGTGTTTTTATATAGATTCTTACATTGGTAGAAGTGGACAATCAATACTTAATCTGTCTTTCTCTAATGATTATGAAATAAATTTTCATTTTTTGTGAAAACAAATCCCCCAACTCGTTGGATACTAACTCTAGACACGTGATCAAAGTCAAATATTTAATCGAAATACTACCCACGATGCAATTGCACTTAATTTAGAATAAAAGATTTGAAGAGTTATTATTAACATATTTTATTCTTTTTCTCCAGGGATTGAACTGCCGTCCCGTTGATGAATGAGAGAAACAAGTAGCAAGTGAAAGACGATAATATTGTTTGTTTCAATAAAAAAATCAGAACAGAAGGAATTTTCAATTTTATCTCAATCTTATATTTAAGCTAATTTGGGCATATTTTAAGAAGAATTGTGGGTTTGATGATGAAATAATAAAACTTTGACTATTTGAAGACATACACCTGGTAGTTAATAAAAGCTAAAAACCCACTCTGAAACATTCAATATTGCGGAAATTTTCAAGATGGCATTTAATAAGTTTAAATTACACAACTATGTATAAAACAATGCAAATAATATACGTTTCAAATAAGTCATGAAGTTATATTAAATTTTCAATCCTGGTATCTATGATAAGTTTATTAAGATTCTTCAATATTTCTAAAAATGATGGAAAATATCCGAATGGCCGTCAAAAAGATAAAATGAACAAAACTGAGACGCCTTTGTTGATATCTATCTTTTCTGTCGAATCTAATTTCTATCGATTGGATTTTAATGATACACGGTTGCAGCTACATGTAATAAGAATGCAATTAAATCAAAGGTTTCATGCCCAGTTTTTGGTTACGTTTGTGTTGCTAATTTCTAAATATTCTACATGTTGTATGTTTTGATTCGTAAATTGTTGTATGTCTTTTGGACGCTAATTGTTTTTGCTGTTGCGCTTTAAGTTTGTTGTCGACTTATAAGTAATTTAAATAGCACTTTAGTATATTCCGCCTTTATTTTTTAAAATGATTAAGTCATCTATTTAAACATTCTAGTTTGTACATTGTCCTGGAAAACTTTATTTTATTTCAAACGTTCCAATTCAGTCGACTGTTATCAATTTATAGAGAATAAAAATGCATCGAGGGTTAATGTGTTCATAATTTTGTGATTCTCATGTTTTGAAAAAACCTTTTATTAATCCGCTATTGTAATAGAATATGCATAACTACTGGTCATTACTTATCGATCTATTAAAACAAGAGCACACAGGTTGATGTCACTTGTGGAACAGGAACTACTGACCCTTTTAGAGTTCCTAAGTTCAACTCCGATTTTTACTGGAGTTCGTGTTGCTTAGCCATTGTAGATATCTGTGTAGTGATTTGTTGACTGCAGTAAGCCTTTTTGTAGTTTTTTGTCGTGATGGTGTATGTTTTTATTGAACTTCATGTATTTAGTATCTTCTCCATCTCCAAGAAGCTTTTTTTGGCATCAGCATTTTTCAAATGTGTCTGGTTGACAGCCCATTTATTATTTGTCACAATCTCCACCTCATTTACACAGCGTCGTACATAACTGTTCATAATAAATGTTCTTCTCTCATTTGCATCTTCCACGGCATCCGTTTCTATCTTGCAGCAATATTAAATCAGCTCATTACAAAATGTTGATACTTGTTTGGTAGTTCATTTGAAGTAGCCACCACTGAAAAAAGTTGGAACATTCTCATACCTAAAATTTTTACATGTTTTGAGAATGTCTTTTGTTTGCTTTCAACCCGTTTCTTATGTCAAACCTCATGCATATTTCCTGATCTTGATTGATTTTTTCAGAGGAAGAATGAAACTTAATTACTTTGGCAATTCTACACAAGACATCAATAAATGCTCTTGTTGTGCTACATTCATGGTCATTCTTTTGTCCTACCTTTTTTTTGACAAGATTCTTATTTTTCTCATGGGTTTGATTTATCTACATCATCATTTCAAATTACGTTTGCAGCACTTAAATATCCTCATATCGCGTACGAGCACTTTAACGTCATTCTTATTTAAATGGTCTCATGACAAAATAAAAGATAGTCAAAAAATTTGAATCAAAATTACACTTGAACAACCATTATTTTTCTAAAAAAAAATGTGCCAGATTTCATTTCTAAACGGAAACCTCAAAACCAATATATTCATAAGGTGTCTGTCTAGGATTTAAGAATATGCAAATTATTTGACTTTATCATGGATTTTCCAAAAGTTGTGACAGATATGATATATTCCTAAAACATAATATTTTGGCTTAAGTACAACAACAAATTATAAGGTATCTAGATGTACCTCACAGTTTAAGGTTATTATGAACTTTCCAGGCATAACTTAGTTCAATTACAGCTACAATGTGTAATTGTATATTTTTAGTGTATAAAGCTGACATCATAATGCGAGTATCAAAAGTACCTCTTCTTCCGCCTGTAACAAGTATCCAGTTCAAAGTACCAATAATCTCATCACGTCATTCATCATTAGACCATTACCATGAACTGTTGGTATTTCTGCTGCTTTCTTTTGAAGCATAACAAGTGAGACGACTATATTATTCTGTTAAAAGTTTTAAACTTTTTCGCTGAGTTAATGCGGCATCAATTGGAGTTACCTGGAACTACATTTCCTGTAGCTGGCGCTCAAACATTGAAACTTAGTGACAATTTTGTAGCAGTAGTTGAAGTCTATTTTTTTCAATATTGCCCACGGCTAGAATTGTAAAATAACCAGAATATTTTGCTGGACAAACAACATATTCAATGTTTTACTTTTTATAAAAGGAATCTCCTTGCACTGTAGACAGAGGCATAATTGAATCATAATACCTGTGAAGCTCTTGGGAATATCGATGCCTATTCATTATCCATGCAACACTAATCATTTACAGAAGAAGCACTTTCCTGCTTTAAGCTTGGTAATGGCCCTTCAGGGTTGAAATTATTGCAAGAATGAGATTTTTCATCATCACTATATCCCTTCCAGTTGATCATAAAGAAAACATTTTGCGTCCAGAAGTATAGATTCTGGCTAAGTATTCCTTAACTATTAAATCATATCAATTCAGTGTTGATACGTTATTTTTACGTTGGAGACTACTATTCTGCAAGAACAGTGCCGTGGTTAGCATGGTTTAGATAATATATTCTTTCCTCACGAAAGGGAAACAATTCAAATCTTAGGGGGCTTGCAAATTTGATGAGGTCAAGATATTTATTTCCAATTTAAAGGCGGCCAGATTATTTTGTTTTTACTAACACTAATACCAGAACACTTATTTTCAGGTCATCAAATCAAATGGTCGTAAATTACATTTGGTTTTGTCAGAATATTGAAATAATGCAAGATAATTTATTTCCAACTTAGAGTCATAATATTAACTTTCAAAATTTGTCAAGCCCCTCCCCAAAATATAATGATCGCCTTATAATTTTTTGAGGTCTGGTTTTAGTTTACGAATGATGCTTGCACTAAATATGATAGTTAGAGCAGTCAGTTTTCCTGTCCAAACAAAACACATTGTGAAAATGATGTTCTTTTATTTTGATTGTATTTGGTGGGAACATTGGAAATAGCCTCCATATTGAAATCTCAAAGTGGGTCCATATGTAATTGTGTGGGACAAACCAAATCAGACTACCATGAGTAATTTGGTGTTTTTATCATCAAACCTACAATTGCTTCACCAATCTTCATGACTAATAAGCATAAACAGTGTATAAACAGTAATATAATGTTTTATCTTTAACCACGAAAGTGTCATTTTAGCAAATAAGTATGATGACAATATTGAATAAAAATACCCGTGAAATAAACACACAGAAAGTTTCGGTAAGCTTATTGGCTAGAACATATTCTGATACAGTATTACAGTGATCGGGAAGGACGTGCGCCTTGCGCCAATTGCGCTTATCGACCAGAAATGGCGCATAAAGTGACAAATGTAAGCGCCCGCGTGGCGCATGATATTTTTCACTTCGTTTTGAAACGTTGAGATATCGTCAAATGGATTTCCGATCGTATTACATGCCGCCATGTGTGAGTACACAACTGTGTAGTGTTTACTCCAATGATAGGAGCACCTTTATATTTTTGGACGTCTCGGGTGTTTCCCTATGGTAATAATAGCAACAAGCGGTATGACTGATTACCCAAAAAACATTCATGATATAATTTTTTATAAACAACTTTAAATTTGTGAAAATTGGCTAGTACAAGCGAGAATTCTTCTCTAATTATAATCTTTTAAGTAAGCTTGCTATTATTTCGATTGAAAAACCCAAAAGCCTTTTTATGAATAGTATAGTATTTGTCTCCATAAATGGGGCTTAACTGTCCTTGTCAATTTTTTTGGTCTTTGTCTCGTTTTTACATTTTGTACACATGCCTTCAGCGAATTGTTGTTGTGTCTTATCAATTAACGTTGCTCTCTACTGTTATTCTTGTCATCGTGATGAAGTAATAATAATACAAGTGCAGAGGAAATGCCAGAAACGTCCTCTAATACGGAACGTCTGGAATAAGTATGGTATCGACGAAGACCCAAATTTAATGTGAAAAAAACATGAACATGAACAAGGGAACAGTACCAGTTTTAACCTTGTAAATAAAGCTTATCGTAAATATTGCCCGTTTTGGAAGAAGTTATTGTATATTCATTGAAATTGAAATTACAAAATCACAGGAACAATATCCATGATATTAATTAGAATCATACTTGTTAGTACAGTGAAATATACACTTTTTTTATTTTCTTTTATTGTAAACGAATGGCCCACTCATTTGACAACATGGCCCATTAATTCTAAAAATGGCCCATTGAATTTATTTTTGGGGGGCCCTGGGCCCATAGAGTATAAATCCTTCCAGATCACTGCAGTATTGAAAGTTTAACTCTGACATATATTTTCTAATGCAATAATGAAGAGCGTCTTCATATAATGAAATCTTTATCTAAACTTCATACATTGTATCATAATAATACCGTCCCTAAGTAGCGAAGTTGAATATACGGTTACGAAATAACTGTGCTAGACGACGTTATAACGTTAACAAATAATAACAAAATGCATACAAAAGAAAGTATTAAACAATACTAACCTGTAAAGTATCATAACAGTGCAGATAAAATAACTGTGTTTGCTGTGAAAAAATCTTTGTCTGAATTTTCACTGGAGTTTGATAATTTTGTTATTTATATTTGAAAGACATAACAAAATTATTCTTTCAATCCAACTACGTGCGTATCCAATGACTAAAAATCATAAATCTGGATGACCTCTATTCAAAATCTTTTTATCACATTTATGCTACTGCTCATAAATACTTCGTTGAGTTAGTAGATGGTCAATTTGATCTTAAATCCTGCCTGTGGATTATTGGTTACAACACCGGGATGAAAATGCAAAAAAATAAAACATTACAAATTGA